TTATCGTGAATTGGTTTTGGAGTGCCAAATCGCGATATTAAAAAGGTTGATCAAGGGAATTTACATGGATTTAAGCACGATAACAATTAAAGCGGTTAATTTTATTTCACAAGTAAATTTTCTTGCGAAATTATGTAAAGATTAATTTATCGCGCATAATTAGGAACCAACGGTATTTAAATCTACTCATATCCGCCATCGCTTCATGCATTTCTCCTCTCGATGGATTGCTTGCACTACGGCCATAAACACTACAAATATCGCATTTATTACATCTGAAGCTAAATCTCTAGCATTAAAAAAGAACATTTAAAAACGCGCTATATCTTATCTGCGCTTACTTGTTCAAAATTTATTTCCGTAAAATATTGTATACGCTAAACATAATATATTTACAATAGTTCATCGTTGCAAAATATTATTTGAGACATATGGGAAAAATGCCTTATGTACAAAAAAGTTGACAATAAAAAATAAAAACAACATTCAGTTCATAGAAAGCTTAAAAAATAATTACAAACATATACATGTAAATGTGATAAGATTAGAATACTATATATATTGAGATTATTCACTAGGGAAAAAGACATGCTGTAACTTGTACAATACAACCAAGATGTCTATACAAAAGGTTTTGGCTAGTTTTATTAGCCTTGATCATATAAAAGCATTATATTTTGGTACCTATCAAAACAGAAAAGAAATAGTAATTATAAGTATTAGTACGTATACATTTTTAAAGACATATTTCATTGGTTTATCGATTACAAAACGCACATTTATCTTATATTCATTTTGTCTGCGTCGGGTAGAAAAATCATATGAATGTAAGATTTTCAAAATTCGTTATAAAATATTCTAAGCACGAAATTTCTTTGGTGGCATACTGACGTAAATATTGCCCTTGCGTTCTTCCCATTCACGTTTAGGCTTTGGAAGACTCGGCAAATTTCCAGTACTTAAGATAGATATTTTCCTCATCTAAGCCTCATCTGGCTTTCTGTAATAAATGAAAAAAAAATAAAAACCAAGTAATTGTGGAAAAATACTAGTCTTTTTCTCTTTCACTCCATCATTATCGAATTGGCTGTTCTTTTTAATACCAAAGTTCAACACAAATGTATAGATATCCCCTACTTTAACTTTTGTCATGTTCATTCATACATTAACCGATACATATCATATATGATATGTAAATCATTTAATTTCTATAAAATACTTGATTCTGATTGGATAAAAAATTCTTTTGATAAATGCATCAATAAAAATTAGAGTTTGCTTGCACTAAGCAGCCGGAATTACTTTGGCAGTCTTTACATGTATATTCCTGCTTCCAGATAACTTTTTGAAGGCATAATTACATGTAAATACTTTTACTTTCATATATATTTTCCTGAATTTCGGAACCTGTCCGTTACGTTCCTGACTTATTTTCTACTTCTGTTTCATTTTGAATTATCCCCCTTTCCTAAACAAATTAAATCGTCTGCATGATGACAATACAGTTATGGGAAAGAAGGGAAGAAATCGTTTAATCGACATATTCTTCTTAATTGGTTGACTTTGAGATATCTGGTATGAAACAATAGAACTCTGAAAAAATGGTTTATTATGCTACCAAATCGGAGAAACCGTAAATTTGTTAAATTGTAGAAAACCAGTGAACGAGAAAAACGACACTGCATGAATGAGGACGGAATTCTTTTAATTTTGAACAGTCGGCAGCAGGCTCTTCCAGGTTTTACAACATTGACAGGTTGTGATACTTATTTACATAGTCGGTTTTGAAATTCAGATGGAAAAATGCGCAAATGAAATCCAAAATGTCTGTGATCGAGAACTGTTAGGATATTTGAGTAGCTTCCCTTTATATTTACGAACCAAGTTAGCATGGTTAGAGCCATTTTGAATTTTCAGCAACGTTAATGTTATGGTGATGTATTCGTGCGCACGGTTTTCGATGAGTTAATTTAATAGAAAAGTGAAAGAAACTTTAATTTTATTAATTTAAAGTCAAAATTAAATGATACTAAATGCACTTAATATTTTTTTTTCTTTGATCGATGTATCAAAAAAAATTGGACGGAAAACTTTTTCATCAATGCGCTACGCGCAAAAACCATGCAATCTGTTTAATCACTAACTTACATCCGTTCAAACCGTAGGCTAATAAATTATAATCATCTTAAAACGTAACAAAGAAAAACGATTAAGCAATATTGGTTATTGAGTTCTTCAACTTTACATTGGTGTTTCTCTCACTGGCGAATACTTGTCGGTTGCTGCCTTTTTACCCGATGTAGATTTCCTGAAGATTTTCACAAACAATCACATTAACCAACTCGACCTGTCTCCGTAAAGCCTACATGTACGCATGTTTTTGTTTCTCGTTGAACATTTATGAGACTAGGCGAATGATAGCATTCAAAATGCCCTAGTTAGCCTTTTTACCTAAGGGCTAACTTGCTTAAGGTAGGTCGCGGATTTACTGCATTAAAATTCTTACGAGAAAACAAATTCTTAAAAATTGATATAATGTTCCTTAGAATTTAAAGCGTATCATCTGCTATTTTTATTAAATTTGCCTAAGTAGTTTTTATGTTATAGTACTGTAAACGCGGTATAGTTTTTAATCCTTTTTGACGCTTTTACTATTGAAATATACGGGAAAATGACGTTTTTAAGTCAATTTTGTGAAAATAGTTTATTTTAAAAAGGTTGGATAACTTTTTAAAGACGTAGACGAATTTATCAGGAATTTCAAAATGTCAAGATGAGGTAAAATAAAAACCATTAATATAAAAAAATCAATATGTCTTCTCGCTAGATTTTTTGCTAATTTTAAAGTTTTCTATTAAAATGCTAAAATTTGGCATTTATGGCGTTATTTATATCTACAACGTCATTTGTTGAAAGTAGTCACGTTTACAGTACGAGCATAAATATATTGACCTATGGGATACGAAAGAATTAAAAGGTGATATCGATACAAAATTTAATTTTCTTCATCATTTAATTTATTGCGGAGGCATATTAGGATGACCAGCAACTTATTTTCACTAGTATTGTGAAATTCATATTCTGATCTCAAAGTCAAAATGAACGGTATAAATAATTATCGTGGAGCGACATTAACATGCAGCGACAATGTTCACCGCAAGTGAAAAAATATTAGTACCTGTATTTTTAGAAACTGCATGTTCAATAGGATTTCAGGTAAAAACAAAAATTTGATAAATTTATTTGAAAACGGTAGGAAAAGCATCCCTATAATGAGGAAATAGTGTGCAGGGGGGGGGGGGGTGTACCTGCAATGTTCTTTCTATATTAGTCTCACGCAATAGTATATGAATCTAAATCTCAGGCATTTTTTTAATTTCGAATTTTCTGAATTAAATTTCAATATGCAAAACGTAAAACACTTGCATTTAGCTTTTACACGTTGAGCTTTTGTCATAAAAAATATATAGAAAAAAAAAATACTTGCATATTGTTTAAGTGTTTTGTAAGTTTTAAAAACCAGGTGTTTGAATAAATTTGATTTTTAAATGCATTTCACAATTCATTAGCAAGCAAAACAAGGCGAGTGCACGAGATTTAAATACATAAAACCAACCAATATTAATAATGATAATTTTGAAAAAAACTGAAAATACTTGTAATTGAATATAACTTGTTTTTAGTGATGAGGATTACTTTCCATCCTGAAAAGTATACGCATATTTTCGCCCCGGCTTTGATTTGAAGTCAAGTTCCCCTGAGTTTCAAATACATGTAACGTGTGCACATACACTCCCTCAGGTTTCTCGCTGAGCAATTTTCTATTCAACTTACTGGATATAACTTTCAATATATAACTTTCTTTCTGCAAGCCATAACTTTTACGCTGATTTATTCTGATTGACTTTTAGCAGTTTAGTTACAGTTCGAATATAATTTATTGCTCTCATTTGGTATTGTTTATAATTAGTCCTAAGACATTGCATATAATCACACCAGAATTCAGACGTAAATTTCTTTGATTATAAAACATGTACGAGGTTTACGTACAAAAGCATGCACTTTGTGTTAAATCTACTTTTAAATTCGTACAGACTTGAAGTCATTTGAAGAGAATCAAACGGGAAACAACATGACATTGCCTTTGTGACGTAAATGACGTCATAATCAAATGTGCATAAAACAACAGATCGAATTGTCAAAATTATGTACTAAAATTGATGACAAAAGCAAACCTGCGACCTACCTTAAGAGTCAAATTATATATCTTATCTTTTCGAAAGATTAACATACTGATGAACTCCATGCAAAGGAGCTAGAATCAAGGATGTTGAAGATGCGGGAAGGAAACACAGAAGATAAATAAATGAGACTTTCGGATTTTAATTCTAAGGGATATCGTTATATGAGTTTTAATTTCAATAAAACATCTAAAGCATAATAAAATAAAAGTTTCGTTACATTTTCATTGAAAAATGACTTTAAATATTGGATAAGTATACTGGGAAGTACATGAGCAATGTTATATAAATCCACCTCAAAAGTTTGTACGCAGATTTTTTTACATCTCTATCATAAGCTTTGCTAAGTTTGGAACAATTGTCTGTATATTTTTTATTTACTTTCTGATAGAAAGTACTTCTACTTTAATTTAATATAAATTATTGATATATAGGGAATATACGGGAATCTAAGTAGAGTATGATTTTCAAAAAAAAAAAAAAATGATTTTCTTTTTTAACCACGATTTCGACTTTATAATATGAAAAAAAATAGTAACCAGGCTCATTAATCCCCAAATAGCTAATGCTATTAAAGATGAACGTTGTAAGGTCTGTTGCCCCTGACCTCTTAAGGAAGATAGATATAAAATGCTTAAATCTAATATCCAGTGCAATACTTCTATGAGATTAAAAGCTATCATAGGTTCACTAATTTGGAGATATTCTGAAATTTATTATTTGTTTCAGCAATTAATCTTTCATATAATGTATTAAAACTTACTCGTTTTCTCGTTTGCCACAATGACGCCGAAAAATTACACTCAGCACAATTAGAAAGACCGTTACAATAGCCGTCACAGAGAGTGCAATAATCACAGCTTCTGTAACTCCTTAATATAAAAGAAACTAAATAGGTACACAGTTCACAATCCGATATCAAAGGTGGCCATGAATCATTGTATATTATATTAGATTAATATCCAAAGTCATTAAATTACCCAAAGTGCTGCTTGCTTGGTCCTGCTTAAAAGAGTTCGTAGTAGCGTTTGTCACTTCTGAAATGTAAACATAAGAAGTTGTAAACTCCATATACACACTGACTTATATAATTTGTAATTATTTTGAGTTTCTCATTGATTTAGTGAAATACAACCAGCTGTATGCGGAAAAATATCATTCTCGACATTGGTTATAAAATATGCACATTTAAAGAACATGCACCAGGTAAAAAAAGGGGGAAGAAAGCATAAAATTTTGAGGTTATAAAACAGCAAAGTCATTTTTTTTGGCAACAAGTAAGATATTTTAAATGGCTAATAATTGTAATAAAAAGTGTCAATCACCCAACATGTATTTAAGTAAAATAATTATAAAATTCACTTAAAAATCGTACAATAATTCAAAACTTATAGTTTTAACATTTTGTATACCAAATATTTCTATTTATAACAAAAGTTCTAAAAAGTTATGTGTATGAAGTCGGTGAAAATCTAGTTTCCAGAACTGTCAAACAAACAAAAAACAAAACAAAACAAAACAAAACAAAAACAAAAAAAACCCACTCACCAGTACATTTGAAGCCATCCTGAGATCCTACAAATTTTGTACTTAAACCAGTGGGACAAATAATGCATTGCTTTTGTCCAATTTCACTCTGATAAGTTCCTTTTGGGCATTGTGGACATTTTCCAGCCTTTGAATATGTGCCCATTGGACAATCAACTGTGACAAATTATAGTGCAAAATTGATAAAAACATAACAATGATGCTAATATCTATAAGTGCCTATACTTGAGTAATCATCAAATTGATTTTTTTTCTCCGAGTGGAAAATAAAACGACTACCCATTTAAAAAATTGTTTTCAAATGTATCAAGACAGGTTTTTTTCTCGCCTTTTCGTTATTATATTTATCTATTTTAATTTTAATTTACATTAAACTATTCTAAATGACTATTTCGTATATGACAAAATGACAACTTCTGATGTAATCACAAAAATGATTTAAAAACTTATGAGGACCCTCGGTTACAGGACACTCTTCAGTATCTTGGTATTGATGTTTTCTTAGGTTATTATTTTTGTTATCGTGGAATATTATATTATGACCAGTAGGTCAGTGTATTGCTTTAAAGGTTCATTTTTGTAACTACATGTATCTATACCTTTCCATTTTTTTATGTGGGTAAGCCTTAGTATGAACCAAAAATCAGTGTAAGCTTTCCTTTTTTCCGGAGAAATCTGATTTACAGCACGTGTTTGCATAATTGTATTTCCTTAAAACGTCTAAAATGCCCCAGAATTCGTATTGCTTACTTTGAATTAATTTGATGAAAGCTCAGTACATTAACATGCATGATTAAATTGTTTAATATCAACTGATCTTAATTAAATGTCTTACTGCAAATAGGGCCATCACTTCCTTGTCCGACTCCACACACAACAATTGCTGTAGCCTGTTTCCTTAGAGGTGAATACATAACCCCGCCCATGTCGAAGGAAAGGATTTCATATGAATCATTAATTTTTTTGGTAGAGTTTTCTAGGTCTACCAGTGTATTTACCAAGAGTTTCAAACCTTTTTTCACTATAAAAATTAACGCGAAAAAACGTCATGTAAAACATATACATGCTTACAAATCGAAACCCGATGATGAATAGGTGTGATTGAAGATTGTATGAATCATATATTTTATTTACGAAAACCCAGCTAATTCTACTTTAAAGATATAAAGAGTTGGCTTGCGTTAAAATGGTATCTGTATACCGATTCTTAAATTATTGCACAGTAGTTACAAAATAGAATGACCGCGTAATAAGAGAGAGAGAGAGAGAGAGAGAGAGAGAGAGAGAGAGAGAGATGCATTGGAATGAAGCTTACAAATGCTTAGAAAGAGCTCAATTTACAATGAACCATATATTTTTCAAATGTATCAGACAAACATATAGATTAGTGTAATAGAAATAATTAGGACCAATTTGAAGAAACGTATAAAAAATCCGTATCTTGTTTGTTTTTAATCAAAACATTAGATTTAAGATAAAATCAATAAAATTCCATATATAAATCAATTTTTACTTACACATTCCTGTTGTCAAGTAATGTAACAAATCCAAGTCTTCAGCAGGAAGTGTTGCATTCAAAGTTATTTTTAAAGAACCCGCTTCCTTTTTATTTTCACATTCTGAAAAAAAAAAGATAGGATCAATATAATTTTTGATAAAAATATACTGCATAATATACAACAAAGAAAAATCTATATTTGAAAATTGAAATACCTTTTATTGAGAATACGGTTTCTGAACAATGTTGTCTTATTTAAATGTGTTTATGTTTGATTACGTGTAAGGATATATATATATATATATATATAAAAACAAAACAAGCGAAATATGTAATATGCTCTTAAGATCGGTCCTATAAATATAATACATTAGACAAAATTTTTGGAATTTATATTTACAATTTTATTTCACACACAAATTTTAATTATAAGGAATAACCGTCTAGCTAGTTTCATGATTATGCCAGAGATACTAAATGCCGTTGGAAACATGGGATAACTAATGCATCACAGACTTCACGGGTATGCAAATTATCCCACGTTTCCAAACGTATCGTTGATGCCCTGGTATACCCAACAGACTAGACAAATGCTATTTTACTTAATCTAACAATAGGTCTTTGAATGAATATGAATAAAGACAAATACATATATCCGAAAACACTAGGATGCCCAAAAATCTGCATGTCTGCACGAAACAAATATCGAACAGGCTTCCGGGGCAATAAAACTTAGACGAGTTCACTTTTGATCCCAGTCTCACTTTTCCATTGTGTAATAAACTATTTTTTAGGTAAAAGTTAGACTAAGATAAAAGATTAACTCGGCTAAGTTTTATGACACAGGGGCCATAAGAAGTAGTGATTTAGTAATAAGTAATTTAATTACAAACCGTCCATTGAAGTTGTTAGTTCACATATCCCATGTTTATAGCAGGACAATGTTGATTCTAAGTTTTTATGTAGAGTTTCTATGGCTAATGAAGAGTCGATACATGGTATTAATGAGTTGTACTCAATTGCAGTTATTGAAGATAATTTATTCGGTATCATCGCTTCTGAAACAAAAAAAAAACGCAATCCAAACACATACATATGCATGTATTGTAATTATTTACATGTATAAGACATATAATAAGCACTTGTTTGTTTTCTATATAACTTACTCCCACAAGCAGGTGTAAGGCCATTCCAAGTATAACCAGTGCTTTGTTCACATCTGTACTCTTTGAGAGGACGATTTTCTGGAGCAAACGCGTATCCTGCTACACAAGACACTGAACAAACTTTATCTCCACTAATCTCCGAACAGTTCATTACGTTACCAAAGGAGAGTTGTAGTTCCGGACAAGCTATATAACAACATGTCAGAAAGAATTGTTACTAGTATCTCTTTTTTTCAATTGTAATCGATATAATTATATATCTAAGCATTATTAACATTATTAGTCATTTCGGAGTAAAATTAATTTTTAGCCGGGCTTATTGCTCAAAGAGCAATTGCCGGCTTATGTGATCCTGTTCAAGGCAGGATGTTAACCCCATAGTCGCCATTTTAAAGTTACGTGCAAAAATATAGTTCTTACTCTCAACCGCTTTTGAGATAAAACAAACGCTAAATAAAGCAACAAAAATAAAACGAAGTTTATCTATATAAAATAAACATTAGTAGTAATGACTTTGAAAACTTCATAAGTCAAAGAACACAGTTCATTAGCGTAAGGATTTTTGATAATCAGTGTTACCGTAGTTCTCTACACATACGAGGTAAAACAGGAGAGGGAACCAGACTGGCCTGTTTGTTTACATTCGGCTGCGGTACCAGATTAATTCTGATTCTGACAAAATCGGACGGTGGTATTAGGATTGAAAACCTCACTGTCAGTGTCTTATCATTTATATTGATAGTTTTAAAATAATTTTTTCATTAGAATATAAACGTGATTCATGTAAGAAATCCATTCTACTCTGTAAATGAGCCCGGCTCTCTGTACTTCTGAGTACTTTGATTACTTACTGCTTTCTAAAGGAGAACACTGTGTTCGATAAAACCAAAAACAATTTATTTTTTATCAAGTTATTGTAATGTTTATTGACATTTTTTTTTTAATTTAACATTTTTGAAAACAGACGCCCTTGCGTATACAGGTGTGTTGTAGATTAAAAAAAAATCACTTATCAAATTCTTAACAAAGCTTGTTTAAATTGATATTTTAAAAAAGTGTTTAAGAACTTCGTATTTTTATCATTTCTGATATATTTTTAGCTCCATGTATGTTTGCCTTTTTATCAATATACTAGAATGTTGTTATATATATAAATTTTGAACATGATTATTATTATTATTATTATTTTATTAAATCCACATTTTATATATTTCCAACTAATTTTCGTTCCTTGAGCTTAAATGAATTAAAAAAAATCAAATACAAATCTAAACATTTAATTTACATTTCAAATTAATTTTTCAATAGCATGATAATACTTCAAACTGTGGTATATAAACTGTGACTTACTTGGGCATACCTTTATGTTACATGATAAACTTTCCGATGACAATGTAGGGTCACATTGAAGACCTTCAGGATCCGGAAATGGATTGTTGCAAATACGAGATCTCGTCTTAATGCCTCCATTGCATGATACTGAGCAGTCAGAAAAATTACTCTATCAACTCCAACCACCGTTTACTACAAAAAGGTTTTTTAATATAAAGAACCGACTGGAAATCAATCTGTTTAAGTAACAAATCTACATTAAAAATACGAATTAGAAAGAAAAACGATTATAAAAATATCACCATATCTTAAGTATACAAATGAAATAGGAGTTTTCTTAGCGAGTTCTTTTTTGATCGAGTCCCTGATGAGTACAAAGCGTACGGACAAACTCCTAATGAAATAGCAAAAGACGCTGTCACAGTAGACCACCGATATGAGATTTTCTATTACATGTTGTTGAATGATGGTGAGAAAATTGTCCGTAACTTACTAATAAATCTTCAGAAGATCGCATGAGGGTGCCAATTGGTTCTTCGGCTGTTTATGGAGACTAAAGAATGTGTATCAGTGAAATTCCTAAATTTAAGTCGGACTGATCCAACTTTATTTTCAGGAAAGAAAAAAACGTGACGCTGTTTTAGACACTTCGACGTTATAATCCATGCGCCGTAAGGTGATACAATACATGGCATAAAATCACATAATTTGTTCATTTATGCACATATTTATCTGAAATTTGCTGTGTATATTACTGAAATATGTACTAATTAACAGAGAAAATTTCAGAACGCAGTGATGTTTATTTTTCACACTAGACAACTTGTCCACGATTTTACGGGACAACCCTCGTACATCTATATATTTTACATCTTTTGAATTTATGTTTGAAGTTTGACTGAAAGAGATTGAGTATCTTAAAACTGGTGAATTTAAGAACCCACACCTTAAGCATTTTAGTGTCATAACATTATATTTAGTTTGGACTATTGTTAATTCTTTACATTACAAAAATATTTGACAATTATATAAATAAATACTAAGTTGAAGAATTTCAAGGAACTGGAGAATCAACTATTTTCTTTGTTTTATTTTCAATATTGCCTTTTCTAATAGCACCAAAACCCTTGAGCCTGGGAAAAATACTTGACATTTTTGTTAGAAGCATTTTTGCTCATCATTACTGTATTTAAGAGAATTAAGGGGCATCCTTTTTTATAATAACTATTTATATGTAGTTTTTTGTTTGCGTAAGACACAGGCAGAAAAAAAATCAAAGAATAAGAGTATTTTTACTCTGTCATCATCAAAGAACACCTTTAGCAGAACCCTTTACCATGAGGCCATATTTTTTTTTAATCTTACCGGATCAACCCTTGATCATACTAGCCAGCAATCTAATATGAACTTATTGATACGGGAAAAGAAGAAATGAAGTTTTAATAAAATTAGTGCAATTTTACATAGAGTTTTTTTTTAATACGCTAACCTTACTCCAGATTACAAATCCTTGGGCCATAAATTCCATAATTTTGGTACTGGGCATATTATTATCTTGCCAACAGCGTTAAAGTTTGATGTCAAAGAAGAAAAAAAAAATAAAACATTAAATCTGATGATTTTGTGCAAATTCCTGACACATGTAGCTTATGCTTCAGTTTTTTTGAAAATCCTAGTTGTTGCTGTTGTTTCTTTCACATCCCTTTGGAATATTTTTCAATCAATTTATAAGTACATATAACCATAAACCGATGAAGAACATCAAGTTTAGATCTATACTTTGTTCTTAGTACAAGAAGAGAGAAATAATGGGCTCTAATATTATATGAGACTTGCGTTTTTAATGTTCACTTCTAATATTGGGAGTTTGGTGCAGGAAAGTTTCCTTAAAATTTTATTTTTTTCAATGATCTAGGCGGCGCTGGGAACCCAATAACTCCCCATCATGACGCAAACGTTCAGCTTCTAGGCCATTGCAATCGGATTTGAAATTCTTTTGAATAAATTACATGTTTTACATCATACATTAAAAGAAAAACATGTCGACAAGCAGTTAACAATCGGCAGCTAGACAGATAAGTCATACTAATTCTGCCCAAACAAGACCTTTTATGTCTACATGTAAGTGATATAAAAGCAATGCAAAATGGAATAAATGTAACAAATTCTTACCGATAGGAATTTCACAATTTATCCCTTTGTACCCTTTCGAACATGTACATATATGAGTGTGTTCTCCATTCTGACAAACACCACCGTTTTTGCACGGCGCTGCGCTACAGTAGTCGGGGGGAATCTCACAAGTTTCACCAGTGAAACCATTGGTACAGTGGCATCTATAGTTTCTAACCAAGTCTATGCAGCGGTGGCCGTTACATGGATTTGGGATGCACTGATTTACATCTGAAATTGAATAAACTTACACGTACATGTACCTACGTAATAAGCTTTTTTTCTTAGAATTTATTGATAAAGAATTTAAAATATATTATATCAATTAATATTTCTATTTTGAGAATTATAATTTATGATATAAAAAGTAAATCAAAAGAGCTTCTTGATTGTGCATATAACATTTTATAGAAAAATCCATTTGAATGAATTTGTAAGAAATTTTTCTGTTTTAGACTTCATCCGCATTAATTAATTCATCCTCTCTACAACTCACTGTCACATTGGCTTGGTGTTTTAATGTGTGAGCTATCAAAAGATGTCCAGTCAATGTTACTCAATGTAACAAACGTATCATTCCTGTTGTAGCTACATGACGATGCATGTCGAAGAATTTCGTCACCAGACGGAACATTGGAAGTAATCTGATACCCAGATATCGAGATGTCTACGGAAAATAATAAGCAATATAAGAATAAGATACGTTTGACAAGAATGTTAGGACCGGTGTAATTTGATGAGGTTTGATTTTACCATCAATTAAATGTGCAGGAAAGCATAACAGTTAAGGCATTTAAAACCACTTTGATGAACATTTATACAAATATAAATGAAAACTAAAATGTTAACATTCCTAGCCTTTGTAGGATATACCCTAAAAGCCTGGTACAACAGATGCAAAAAAAGTATTTGATTAAGAAAACAAAAAGAAAAAAGAGTGTTCCTCTAATTCAAAGAAATCGAGTTAAAATTTAAAGGGAGTATTAATTAAAGCATTGCAAAGATTTCAAAATATTTTTCACTCCCCTTTTGATTACATTTACCTGTTGATGGGTCCTCATCAAGCACAACAGCAAATCTGAAGTCGGGTCCGATCAAATTGGCATTTCTATGGCAGGGAAGACTTTTTTGAGAATCGATTATTCCATTTATAAAGACACTTATCGTGTTTGTTTCTGTGCTCATAATAATTGCTACATGATGCCAATTCTGGGTGTCTCTCGTCATATTCAGATTCAATTTGCATCTGAAATTTAATTCAAAGAAAATATTAACAACAAAATTCCAAATTAGAAAACAAATCTTTAGACCAATATTTGAAAATTTTCCGTAACAGTAGGTGTCCTCCATGACCCTTGATTCCACGTCTGATGTTTTATATGTCCGTGTTTGCTCTGCTCGCTCCTGATTTGTATTGTTTAAATGACTTTTGAGCTTGAATACTAAAAGTAATTATTGCAGATAATTTCATTTATGTGACGTGTTCTATTTTAATAATGTTATAATATAACAGTATCTGTATTGTACATATTGTGCAAGGGCATAGCTTTATAATAAGCAGCTATTCGGTTCATTTTATTGAACTAATTTTACCCCATTCTTATCCATCATGTGATCATTATTGATCCGTTTACCAAAAGAAAAAGCATGGTTTTTTGAACTGCTGAATTTTTCGAATTTATATCATGTTTTCCCTCAGATAATCCTTACAGCTTTTATTATGATATCATTTTGAAGATTTCGGACGATGTGATCTGCTTGTTATTTAAGAAAAACGTCTGTAAAGTGAGTTTTTGTTATGAAATCAGCTTCGTAAAGTTTACATCCGGGCATTCAGCATGTTGAGGAATCACAACTCAGGACGTCCATAATAATTTACTTGTGATTTTTACATGGATATTCTTTTATTACAAGTTGTCTGAGGTATAATATGGTGATTCGAAGTAAATTTGGTAAACGATCGATAACATAACAGTGTCAGTGATTGTCTACAGTTGTGTAAATATGAAGTAAATATTGTCGGGCTCGAGATCCCAAGAATTCTTACATGAACGGTGTCAACTGTAAACATAGACCCTTCGCTATATGTCTCTGCTGTAAACAAAAATATACAGTTGGATCGTAGACCTGACAGTGTATAGACTTGTTCCTGGGAGGTTTTGCAACTCGCCTGCAGCGATTTACCTACATCTTTAAACCTATCACCTTGATCACACCTGGAGATTTAATCAATAACACCGGAAATTTCATTCCTTTAGGAACATTCGCCTATTTACGGTTATTTACAATTTGCTGAACTTTGAAAATGTGCACCTACGTGATAACACCATTTTTCTTAGCTGTCCATCCAAAATATCACAAGAGAGTTTTGCTTCTTACATTCACCTTGCCCTGGGATAAGAACCTGATTGATACAGCGGAAACCTTTTGCTTTTTCAAGGACTTGCATGTCACAATCATCTACACAAACCAGATATTGATGAGTGAATATAAACAGCTCAGCAGTATAGCCCCTTTTTACAAGTTATGAGATCTCCATTGATGCTAATGTTGTACTTACTTGACTCCTGTATTCCCAGTATAAAACAGGCCAGTATAGTATAGTACTTCTGATGAAGTCATGTGTTATTCATTAAAATTAAGTCAGCTAGCTCATAATTAAAGGCTCAAGTTTTTTGGTTCCTTATATAATTTTGCAATATTTTTACCAATAGAGTACACGTATTATACTTGGTAACAAATCCTGCTACCTCTTTTAAGATTTTGAACAGTGAATGATTACTCAGGTTTACTAATCTATTAATCACTGAGCCCATAATTTTGTTTCGAGCTGGCTGTCTTATGTGATGTTGGTAAAATATTGCCATTATGGGTATGCAAATCTTATATGTATGACTCAAATTTTCAATCATTGAATCAAGACATAGTGTATGTGGAACCACACACTTCTTTATTACATAATCTGTGCAGTTCATAGGCACAGCTTGTATATATGTAGAATGATTAGCATAATTTAATGCTGGTACAGTATTGTTGTTATGGATGCACACCATAGTTTGAGGTGACCTTTTAATGAGAATAAGTGTACAAGTGAGGTCCACATACACTACTTACATATTTATGTTTACCATGCAAACCCACCAATGATTTACACATGCAATGATGTATTTAAGGACTTCTGAAGGACCATATTTACATTTATTTCACTGACACATGTACATTTATTTGGTTTACTCTTGTAGGAACATACCCACATATTTTGTGGATATGTGCAGAACCATATGCATATGTATTTTGTTGACTTGTACAAGTCCATATGCACATGTCTTACTTTTTAACTCATGAAAGATTATAGACATATGCATTTTGATGATCTGTGTGGAATTATATTCACATGTATTTTGTCGACTCATGAGAACCATACATAAATATACAATGTGCACATATATTTTGGTGACTTGGTCACTTTTGCAGGACCATAAGTACATACCTTTTGTTGACTTATGTAGGAACATATGCACATACATTTTATTTTTGCTGTCTTGTGCAGGTCCTTGTGCACTATGTTTTGGTGATTTGTGTAGGACCATATACACAGGTATTTTGTTGCATTATGCAGTAAAAGATGTGCAGGACCAGATGCACTTGTGTTTATTGACTTGTGTAGGACCAGATGCACAATCATGTTTTTTGTTGGATAGTGCAGGACCATATGCACTTGTACTTGTTGATTTCTTGACCTGCATGGAATTGCATAATGACATACAAGTTTTATTGACTTGTGTAGGACCATATAAACATGTAATTTGTTGAATGGAGCAGGGCCATATGCACTTTGGTTTGTTGATTTGGGCAGGACCTGCATGGTAGTGCATAATGACATACATTTTTATTGATTGTGTAGGGCCATATACACATGTGACTTGTGCAGTACCAAATGCACCCTTGTTTTCTTGACTTGTGCAGGACCATATGTACATGTGATGTATTTAGAAGTCTTGCAGGACATGCAGGGATTCGCATATTGACAAACATTTCTGTTGCCTTGTGTAGGACCATATACACATGTAGTTTGTTGACTTGTGCAGGTCGATATACAAATGTTTTTTGATTGGCTCACACGCATGACTATATGCACTTTTCTGAAGTGGATCCAGACCATAGGTATCCAAAATAAAGTGTGTAGAAGTGCGTTTTGCATACTATGCATATATTAAGAGTGATTTATGCCACATATAGGTTGACATATTCTCATGTTGGAATTTACATAACCTGTCAATTGCAGTGTGCAATACCCAAAGTAAAATAATTATGTCATTCTCTTAGAATTTATCTTGCATGTTCTGATTGTTCAGTTGTATGGATTATGGCATAAAATATTGATTTAGATCAGAACACTTGGTTTACAAAAGATGAATTTTCATGTACTGGATAGTAGTTCACATTTTTATTTTTCCAGAGTTCATCATGCCACCAAATTAGAAACAGACACTTTCCACTCTGGGTAACTCTTGCAGAAGCTTTATAGGCCATGTCTAAACAACAGCCAGAAATCAGATATGCCTGCACAGACAACACAGCGCAGTGGACAAACAAGTGCCCATTACCAAGGACATTGCCTCAACATATCAAAGTAGTGTGGCAGCAGCCACTTTAAGTTTGGGTGGTGTTTTTGGTCAATGTTTCTGGGGACTGTTCTGTCAACAAGTCCATTGAGTAAGATAATATTATGAACAAATGGTTTGCTACAACACTCGATGGTTTCTGTAAAAACTGTATCCTTAATTTGAAATAATGAATGTATACCTTCATATCTTTGCTAAATGCATGAGAAAAACTTTTGTCAATGTCTTCTGAAACAGAGGTTATAAGGCCCAAAATTTTAAATTTCAATCACTTCAACTGAATCATCTCTATAATCAGTCTCTGTAGATCTCAGTAGTCGTCGAGCGGGACCATACGTTTGACAAATACACACTACTGTAGCATACTGGTCTTCTTTTGAAGATTTATTGTCATGCAGGATAAAATACATGCTTATTAACCCTGCAATTGGTATTGATGATGCATATAAGCTTATGCATACTATTGATGTATGCAATGGTGTTTCACTAAACATGGTGCATACATGTTCGGATAGTTGCATCACTTGGTATATGGAATATATCAGTTAACACGGGACCATATGTGTTAAGTAGTTACATCATGTTTTATATGGAAACTTTCTCTAAACACGGTACCATACGATACGGGTTTAGAAAGTACATGTTTGTACATGGCATGTTTTACTAAACACAGGACCATATGCATGTTTAGTAGTATACATAATGTTGTAAATAGATATTGGCTAAACACGGGACCATACGTGTTTATTGAATGTTTTACTAAACACAGGACCATATGCATGTTTAGTAGTATACATCATGTTGTAAATAGATATTGGCTAAACACGGGACCATACGTGTTTATGGAATGTTTTACTAAACACAGGACCATATGCATGTTTAGTAGTATACATCATGTTGTAAATAGATATTTACTAAACACGGGACCATACGTGTTTATGGAATATTTTACTAAACACAGGACCATATGCATGTTTAGTAGTATACATCATGTTGTAAATAGATATTGGCTAAACACGGGACCATACCTGTTTATGGAATGTTTTACTAAACACAGGACCATATGCATGTTTAGTAGTATACATCATGTTGTAAATAGATATTGACTAATCACGGGACCATACGTGTTTATGCAATGTTTTACTAAACACAGGACCATATGCATGTTTAGTATATACATCATGTTGTAAATAGATATTGGCTAAACACGGGACCATACGTGTTTATATATTTATATCATCTTGTATATGGAATGTTGCACTAAGCACGGGACCATACGTGATTAGTAGGTCACATCATGTTGTAAATGGAAGATTGGCTAAACACAGGGCCATACGTGTTTAGGAATTTATACCATTTTGTATACGTTGTATGTCACTGAGCACGGGGCCATACGTGTTGAGGCAGTTTCATTACTTTAGATATACACAATATATATTAATTTATTTGCTATGCCTCTTGCTGACATCAGTTACCAATAGTATGTCAGATAAGCGTTATACCATATGTATGACATTATCTGTCTTGTCAGATTCTGCTTATTAGCTACATTACTTTCAAGCAGATCTATTTAATATTTCATGTTTTTAAAGAAAACTAGAAATATCTATCTTTAT